GGGGGGGAGTTGAGAATGTGCATAGCTGCTCGTCATCTGGCCATTTACAAGATGAGCGGATCAACTCTAAAAATTAGTTTATATTAAGGGTGCGTTTGGTGCGAAGGAAAATGTTTTCCTCGGAAAATGAATTCCTGAAAAATATGTGTTTGGTTGGCGAATGGAAAACATTTTCCGGGAAATATTTATATTGCTTGGTTGGTGAGTAGAAAATATTTTAATGAACAATAATGAAAATAATGTTCACTAACAACAGAAAAAGACCACAAAATAATGCTTGAAACTTTGAAGGTATCAAATTTATAAGCAGCAAACATTATTGGAGAATCAGTAATACGAGTAATCCAAATATCCTCTACCACAAGCAACAAAAGTACGACCATGCATACTTGGCAAGTTGTGAACCATGTACTCTCAATTCATCCAAATTCAAAGTCCCTTGCTCTGTCCCATGCCCATAGATTCACAGAAAAAGTGTAAGCACGCAGGGGAGTGATTGGGGACAACATAGAGATTGGTTTTGGGTGGGTAGGTGGGGGGCCTAAAAGCAGAACCTCATTTTTGGACCTGAAAATGACTTCCCGTGGGTCCCTACGAACACTAATTAGAGGATATTGTTTCCTTTAGGAAAATGTTTTTCCAAGTATTAGTGCAACTAAATATGAGAAAATTGGAAAATCTTTTCCTTTCATACCAAACACACCCTAGGTGACAACTATAAGATGATGGAGCCAATAGTACCAACATAAATGTGTGGTTCTGATTGAATTCCCCATGTTCTAAAGAAGAGGACCTAACAATTTTTTGTGAGTCTTGAATTTAGTCTTGAATGTTTCTGTGTTCAATCTTGTTCTGCTGGTTAGTGATGGAAGCCGTGTGATAAAATATCTTGCTTTTTATGATTTTTGTGGCAAACCTTTCTCATCAACAGCCTAAATGGTATTTTGTTGTTATTTTTTTCTTTAATAGCTGAGAACAGCGCATTTTCAAAATTTATAACCAATGTGGATTTGTTAATGCATACTAGGTTCGCTACTTGAAGATAATCGAAAAAAGTGGTTATCAGGCTCTTCCTTGGGTGAGATATATCACGATGGCTGGTGAATACGAGTTAAGACTTACGTAAAGCCACAGAGATGGTGTACCAATCCATTTAAGTCTGTTTTTGAGGCTCAGGTAACTACAAGTTCCAATGCTTTGGGTGCTGCTTTAGTTCAAAGCTAATGTTGTGCTGGCCCAATTTGTTGTCTATTGTATTTGGCTTTATTACTTGTATGTTACTCACACTTTCTTGTATAGAGATGTTTGGTGATTAATTTCATGTCTCATATTTGTGTCAACTCGCGGCTGCTGATACTGGCTGGTCGTTTATATCATTATTTCTGTTTTAACCTTTAAAGAAGGTTAGTTTTTATAGCGAGTGTTAGTATTGGGTACTTCTTTGTCATTTTTATACATGTCGTCAAAGTATTATTGTGATAGTAAGTTAAAACTTGCATTTGCATTTCTAGAGCGTTGAGATTCTTTGCAGATAAATTGGTTAGTATCTTTTGCTGTTTGAAGTTTCCTGAATTACTTATAGTCGATATGCTGTTGGATGTGAATGGGAGAGATTGTTTTCGGGAGATCAATTATGACGGTGACAGTTGGAACCAGGTAATTTGTGAAATTGAAGAATTTTCCGATAGAGTGTCACCCGGTACCACCAGGTGCAACTCACGCTCTAGAAATCAGTGAAAAGACTAGCATGCTAGTCTAGACATGAATTGAACACAAAGAGGACATTCTTGTTTCCAGCTTTTCATTCCTAAATAAAGGTGTGAAATTCAAAAATAGCTAGATTTACAAGTGGCCATTCAAAAATAGCCACAGTTTCGAAAGTAATCGAAATTTAGCCACTTTTCATGTAAAGATAAATCTGAACGAAAACACAGTTCAAAAGCCGGAAAATACTCCAGTATAATATATTGGACTTCCAGCATAATATATTGGAGTTCCAATATAATATATCGGTCCAGCATAATATGCTGGAAGTTTATGCACATGTGCTCCAATCTCCAGTATATTATGCTGGAACTTTTCGCGTGTTGGAGTTTTAGCATAATATGCTGGAAGTTCATACACAGGTGTACCGATCTCTAGTATATTATTCTGGAATATTTCGTGTTGCATCAAAATAGTGGCTATTTTTTAATGACTTTGCAAACGTTGACTATTTTTCAATGATCAGTTCGAAAACTGGGCTAGCCCGTGCTATTTTACTAAATAAAGCCTCTGTGACCAATAAGTACAAGGTAAAACTAACTCTGAATTAAAAAAAGAAGACATAAGAGTGAGTGAGTGCGTATATTTTAAAAGCAAAAAAAAGGGAGAGAAACAGCCATTAGCATCAATTGCAAAAGGTTGAGAAGTGTAATAGTCTTTGGCCAACCACTAGACTTAATCCTAAGCTAGCTGAGGTCGGCTATATGAATCTTCACTATTTATTTGACTATATTTTAACTCGTCTCATTCCAATATTCTATAATTTAGGTTTCCTAACACTAGTTCTTTATATATTTTTATTGACATGCAAACCTTTAGCAAGATCAAAAGGAATTTTAGCAAACATTGGACCTAATGTAAGCTTAACAGCATGACTAATATGTAATCCCAATTAGTTAGTATCCTTTATATCGATCTTTTCCTTACATCGACACCGTATTACGATTTACGGCCTGCCAATTCTTGATCAGGTTCTTCGCTGCCACCAGAAGAAAAATTGTGTATTTCTTTTGGAAAGTCTCAATTGTTCCAAAACAACTAGAAAGCATCTGGAAGAGATTTTAGGTCTGAGAACTTGTTTCCATATGATTATAGGTTTACTTACCGAAAAGAAAAAATAGGTGATTTTAGGTCACTTGGTGTCTTTTTTAACACCTTCAATTATTATGATTTTAGACATAATAATTGGTACATCTGAAAGGTCTATGTAGGATATATATAACGGCTCGACCGGTCTTTTTGAGCTCTAGCGCGTCGTTCGGCGGTTTAAGGTCTTGGGTAGCTTCACTTCATGTATTATGACTTGTATGTGCGGTCAAAATTGAATTTCGGGAAGTTCGAAGTTTATTCGGATGGAAAATTCTTAATTCGGAGGATTTAAGTTGGAAGAGTTGACCAAGGTTTGACTTTTGAGCAAACGACCTCGGAATCGGGATTTGAAGGTTCCAATAGGTTCGTATGATGATTTCGGACTTGGGCATATATTCGGGTTGAGTATCGAGTGGTCCGGAAGCATTTCGGCTTATTATGGAAGGTTGGCATTTTGAAAGTTTAAGAATTTCATAAGTTTGGTTCGAAGTATATTTTGGTGTTGTCGATGTCCGTTTGGAGTTCCGAGCCTTGGAATAGGTTCGTATCGTGATTTGTGACTTGCACGGAAAATTTGGCGTCATTTCGGATTGTAAGTGTGAATCGGACGCGTTGTCGATGTTTGAATGTTTGAAAGTTCAAAGAAAGGTTTCAATCATCGATTCGTAGTTTTGATGTTGTTTGGTGTGATTTGAGGCCTCGAGCAGATTCGTGTTATGTTTTAGGACTGGTTGATGTGATTGAATGGGGTCCTGAGGGCCTCGAGTGTGATTCAGGACGAGTTTAGACCATTCCTCTATGTTGTGCAGCTGTTGGCATCTGGTGTGTTTGGAAAGCATTGCGATCGCGAAGGAAGGATAGCGATTGCGAAAGGTTAAGTGGATTGATGGCTTTTTTCTTCAATGCGTTCGCGTAGAGGGAGCCGCGAATGTGGGTTGGAGCAGGTGTACTTTGCGTTCGCGTGGGTAGAGCCGCGAACGCGATGGTTTGCGGAGGCAGGCCTGTTTGGGAAAGTTGAGCTATGCGATCGCGGAAGGACTCACGCGATTGCGGAAGAGGAATCTGCGGAGGCCAAGTTTGGCCTTTGCGTTCGCGTTGATGGGCTCGCGTTCGCATAGGCCTGGACAGGTTGTGCTTCGCGATCGCGAGTAGGACCTCACGTTCGCACTGGGTAAATTCATGGGCGAGCCTGGTTGGCCTTCGCAATCGCGTGGTTTTTTCTGCGATCGCGAAGAAGGGAGTTGTTGGGCACTGAGCTTTTATTTCGGGTCTTAGTCCATTTTTCTCACATTTTCTTTTGGTTGGGCGATTTTTAGAGCTCTTGGATGGAAGATTTTCATCATCTATGTCAAGGTAAATAGTTTCCGCATATTGTGAGTTAAATACATGGTTTATATATGGATTTAAACATCGAAATTAGTAGAAATTTGGGATTTGGTAGAAAATCTAGAATTTGGTATTTTTGGATTTTGACCACGAAATTGGACATGGAATTGAGAATAAATTATATATTTGTGTTTGTAACGTTATAGGTAATATTTATCCTCGAAAAGTTTCAGAATCCAAGCACGTGGGCCCGAGGGTTGACTTTGTTGACTTTTCGAGCGGAGTTGGAAATCATTATAAATTGTTAAATTATACGCATTGGGGATATATTTGATTGGTTTGCATATTGTTTCACTAGTTTTGGATCGACGAACATGGGTTTGAGGTGCTAGAGAGGCATTGGAGCCGGTTATGGAACTTTGGAGCGAGGTATGTCTCCTTTCTAACCTTGTGAGGGGGAATTTACTCCGTAGGTATTATATTCTTATGTGATACATGTTGTGGAAGCTACGCACGCATGAGGTGACGAGTATCCGTGCGTATGCTAGAATTCCTTATTATGTCCGGGTAGACTTAGGTTCATGCCATGCTTTAATTGTACTATTTGAGTTTCCTTGCCTATTTAATTCCTTTATTTCGTGTTACGACGGGAGACTAGGCTTGCGTAGAGTGATAGACTCGCTATTGTAGATATTTGACGAGCTACTTGATTAGTCGCAGAATAATTGTGCTCCCTTACGAATTCTCCCGCATTGTGAATTTTCATGGAAAAGCTTCCTTAAATTTCATGTCACACGTTTATTCTTGAGTGGGGTCGAGGACCCGTTAAAGCTTCTTATTCTAATGGGATTGGGTTGTTTGCCTCGGCAGTACCACACTCTTATGGGATCACCTCAGCAGTACCACATTATTATGGGATCGGGCCGTTCTTCTCGGCAGTACCATATTTTTATGGGATCGGACCGTTTTCCTCATCAGTATCACATTCTTATGGGACCGGGCCGTTTGCCTCGACAATATCATATTCTTATGGGATTGGGTAGTTCGCCTCGACAGTACCACACTCTTATGGGATCGGGCCGTTCGCCTCGACAGTACCACATTCTTATGAGATCGGGCCATTTGCCTCGGCAGCTCTATAAAATACTCTTATGAGATCGGATCTTTCGCCTCGACAGTACCACATTCTTATGAGATCGGGCCGTTTGCCTCGACAACTTTATAAAATACTCTTATGGGATCAGATCTTTCGCCTCGGCAGTACCATACTCTTATGGGATCGGGCCGTTCGTCTCGGCAGTACTACATTCTTATGGGATCGGGCTATATGTCTCGGCAGTTCTATAAAATACTCTTATGGGATCGGGCCTTTCGCCTCGGCAGCTTCATGAAACACTCTTATGGATCGGGCTGTTTGCCTCGGCAGCGTCGTGCGTAATATTTGACAAGAAGTCATCGTATCCCTGAGTTTTCCTGATTTGAGTTCTGACGACCTATCTGGTGGGGACCATTTTACATATATACTCCAGTTGAGGAGGTAACCAATAGTTGAGAGCTTGTGTTTACGGTTCAAAGGATGATTGTACCACGTGTTTATATTTGTTTATTCCGTTTATTTACTCTGCCTCATATTTATTTACTTCTTAGTGTATATGATTTACTGGACCACTAGTAAGTGTCGATGTCGGCCCCTCGTTACTACTTTTTCGGGGTTAGGTTAGATACTTAGTGGGTACGCGTTGATTTACGTACTCATGCTACACTTCTGCACTTATGGTGCATGTATATATTTCTGGTGGTCTTTCGGGCGCGAAGGCGCAGCTATTACAAGGACTTATGATGAGCTGCATCCCATGCTACGATCCGCAGCATACAAAGTCTATCATAATTATTTATATTTTTTCGATCTAACTTGTATTCTAGACAGATATTGTATTATTATTGTACTCCTTAGTAGATGTTCATGCACTTGTGACATCGGGTTTTGGGATATGCTAGTTGATGCTTACGGATTTGTGTATTATTATCACCTTTCACTTCTTTTATAAGCTACTAATTGTGTACGTACATGTGAATTTAAAAGTGTAAATTTTCTTCATTAATAAAATTTATAGTTTCGAAAGTAATAAAATGAACAATTAATGTGATAGTTCAGCGTTTCCATTAAAATACAGAGACCACTTTGAGGCTCTTACCCTCTAGTTACACTGCATGCCTCTATACCAGTTCTGTTTTAAAGAT